CTTATATAACTATACATGTATACGCATGCATTTGACAATATAAAAGTATATAAAGAAGTTTTTGGTAAAACCTTTGTAAAATATATAAATAAGGATTTATGACTTGATGTCGATTTATAAAACAAGATTTGAAAACCTTTAGTTGGATAAAAACAGTTTAACTATACATGTATTCCCCCCCCCCCCATAAAAGCATTTAAAATCATTTAAAAAGGTTGATTAAGGGGTATGAACTCACCTGACGTGGGTGATTAGGATGAACGGATGGTATAGGATGCTAAGTGTCAAGTGAGGACTTGACCACACACGCGAATCCTATTTAACATGTAATGATATATTTAAGTATCTAATTAGTCATTTAATAACTACTTATTCAATTAAGTACTTCCTAATGCATGAAAACACTTTGCTACAAGTGCTAGGAGTTCCAAGGGTTGCATATAAAGAGAGTATGGCCTCACATTGGAGTTTACTCCTCAAATGGTGGCACTTAGGGGTGTTTACAGTTTCTAGACCACTTCCCCCATGAGTTTACGGCCGTAAACTCATGGAAGGCGGGCCATTGGGTGTTCAAAAGTCTTATACCACTCAAGGAATTATGCTAGACTCGAATCAAGGGCTTAGGAAGTGATTGGGGCTCGAAATGACCTCCCTTTGGAGTTTACGGTCCTTGGACCACTCCTTGGGAGTTTACGGTCGTAAACACATGGGTTTATGGCCGTAAACTCATGTTTGTCCATTTCTTTCGTGTTTTGGTGTTTCTATCTTAAGCATGCAAGGTTCTAGCCACTTATACAAGCATTTGAAGGTGTTAAGGGCACTTAAACACCCTTTGATGGTGTTTACGGTTTTGGAAGGTCTCCCCAAACCATAAACACATATGAACATGGGGATTTTGATGATTTTTGAGTGTAAACAAGTTCATATTAAGCACACACGAAGCTAGGGAAAGTGTACTTATGATCTAGGAGCTTGAATGATCAATTTTGGCCAAGAACACTAGAGTGTGTTCTTGGTGTTCTTGATGAACACTTGAAGATCTATGAAAAAGACAAGATTTCATGGATGAAATCATGTAAAAACACTAGATTAAGTGTTATCTGAACGAATCTATGAAGCAACCACTTATATTTTGGCGGATTTGACAGAAATGTGATATGATACTTGAGAGAAAAACTTGGGTGTTCTTTGGCTTGGAAGTGAAAAATGAGCTAAAAATGACTAAGTGTCATATTTATACTCTTTGGGGTTTACGACCGTAAACTCCATGTTTACGTCCGTAAACTCCAAACTTTTGGAGTTTCGCGACTTAAGTGGTAGACGGCAAACTCTAAAGTATACTTCCTTATTTTTGTTTGCTTGACGAATATAAAATAAAATACTCGAACGGGCTTAAAACCGGCCAAAACTGTTTCGAGATGAATTTGGCAAATTTTTGATGTGCTTAATTGCGGAATTTATACAAATGAAAATTTTGGGTTGTCACATAAGCTATTCGTATCTTCTTGGCATATGCTTCGAACACGGGGTTTACTATTTATCAAATGGATGTTAAGACCGTCTATTTATATAAAGGTGTGAAGGAGGAGATTTATGTTGATCAACCCCCAGGGTTTGTCAATTCTAAAATCCAAATCATGTCTACAAATCAGGTAAAGGTTTGTATGGATTACATCAAGTTCCTAGAGCTTGGTATGCTACCCTGATAGATCATCTATGGAGTATGGCCACACAAGAAGCACGATTGATCAGACGCTGTTCATAAAGAAATTGGATAATGACTTGATTTCCGTCTAGATCTACATTGATGACATCATATTTGGGTCAACGAGTTTTGTGCTGTCTAAATAATTTGAAGAAGTCATGAAAAAGATATTTGCAATGAGCTCACTTGGTGAAATGGTGTTGTTTCTGGAATTAAAAGTTAGTCAAGATTTACATAGAATCTTGTTGCATCAGGGAAAATATGTGGAGGATGTGCTTGAGAATTTTGGTTTCATAGACTTTAAACCTGCCACTACACCCATGGCTGAAAGACTCCTGCTGGGACCAGATCCAGAAGGAGATTCTGTAGATCAAACCAAATATCGATCGATGATCGGATCTCTTATGTGTTTGAGTGCTAACAGACCTGACTTTATGTTCGTCGCCTGTCAATGTGTTAAATATCAGTCTAATCCTAAACTCTCTCAAATGATTGTTGTTAAAAGGATCTTTCGATACCTCAAAGATAGCCCTAAAATGGGGCTATGGTATCCCAGGAATCATGAATTTGAATTGTAAGCTTTCGATATCAACAATTATGGAGGTTGTGATTTTGAAAGGAAATCAACTTCAGGCGGATGTTAGTTTTTGGGGAGAGATTGGTGTCTTAGCAGTGCAAGAAACAGCAGGTGGTGTCGACATCGACAATTGAGGCCAAGTATATCGCTGCATCAGACTGTTGCTCACACGTTATCTATATACAACGCCAATTCCTGGATTATAGTTTGAACTTTCTTGACACCTCCATATTTTATGACAATGATGCTGCTATACAAATTGCCAAAAATACTGTTCAACATTCCAAAACCAAGCACATCGATATTAAAATTCATTTTATCTGAAACTGTTATGAGCACAAGCTCATCCATTTGGAGCAGGTCGACACTAATAATAATGCCGCAAACCTATTTACCAAACCCTTCAGTAAAGCTCGTTTTGATGTGCTTATGGGCTTTCTAAAGATGATTCGTTTTGAAGACTAATTTTTTTTGTGTGTTTAAATTTGCGTATTTTATTTTTTTCATTTCTTTTCTCTCCTATGCACAACTTTAGGGGGGAGAAATCAAAATACCAAAAAAAAATTGTAAAACAAAATTCCAAAAATATGTCTTTATGTTCTTTTTGTATTTTTATTTTAAAAAATTCAGAAAATTATTGAAAAATGGTTTTTCATTTGTTGGTGTCATATGGGAAGTGATATTAAGCATAAGTGATAACAGGCAGTTTAAACAAGTGCAAGATATTAAAGCTGAATTGTCTAGACTCTGTGCTTAACGTGCTGGTAGACACAAAAGACTAAAAGAAAGGACTGGACAATTTGACAAATGAAAAGACTTGTCATAATTAAATGGACTTAGATACATTTACACTAATCATTCGATACTTAGGTAGATTGAGTAGTGAGATAAACAAGGGAACATGCGTGATATGCTAAAGTTACTTTACTACTGGAACTGTAGCTCAAAACTTTATTGGCATATGGACTCATGTCCTTAATTCCGGTACTAATAGGGCGATTGGGGGTTTTGATAAAGTAGTTCTATAGGAAATTGTTTTCTTGCTTTCTATCTGTCAGTCATATGTTTCCTCTTCTGCGTGATTGGAACAGATCCGACCTGGAATGCAACATATGCAAATCTACCTCTATGCACCTCTTTATCTATGCAATTCTTCCTATCTATTAGTCATATGTTGTCTCCTCTGCAGGATTGGAAAAGATCCAACGTGGAACACAACATATGAAACATTCTACCTCTCAATCCTTCTATTCAAGTCAGCCATATGTTGTCCCTTTGCTTGATTGAAAAGATTCAACCTAGGTATACAACATACGCATCTCTAAATCTCACTTCTCTCTTAAGGATTGACTACTCACCTAAAGTAAGGATTCCTTTTGTAGTTATTGATTGTCGGTGTATGTCGGGAAGTGGGGAACACATTCTAGCGCATCTAAAGTTGAACTATTTAAATGGTTGTCTGTAGATCTTGCTGCTAAATTTAAGTGGACAATAATATCCTTGGTCATCGTTAGCTAAATGGAACATTTAGGAATTTGATCTCAAATGTATTGTCACGTATAATGTGTCCAAAATTGGCAAAAAGTTCCTTTGTGTTTAACTGGATCACAATACCGGTGATTGATCAGATCTATTCATACGAGTGTGTGCTGAAAAACAAAGTTAAGGCTGTTTCAAAACTTATGATCCCAAAGTGTTTAAATTTTAATTTTGAAGTATGGTTAGTGTTATTTTTAATTTTTATTTTATTTTTATTATTTCTTTTTAAAAAAAATTAAATTTGTTTGCATTTAAATTTTAGTTTATATTTTATTTTATTTTTCAAAGTCATCAAAAGTCTCATTATTTAAAAGGAATTAAATTATTTTTAAAGAGGTTTTAAGTTTTGGGTTAGGCCTGTCGGGTTTGTCTTATGGGCCGAAAAAACTAATTATGGTTTAAAAGGTTGGATTTCGGCCTCCCTATTCACTATTCTCCTCGCCTACACCGAAATCCTGCTAATTCTCTCTCTCGTTCTCACTCTCATTTGTTGCTCGAGTTTTCTACTTATTTTCTCATCAATACATCATTTTTTGTGTTTCATAGTAACTTGCTCACTAGTTCATCAAAGTAAGTGGGTTGTGATCGCTATACATTAGTTTTAATCGATTTATTTGAGATTTTTGCAGGTTTCAGGGGCTAGTCGGCATTGTGACTGTGGATTTATGTTGACCATGTCCAAAAAAGATAAAGAACTTTGACCAAAATCATGTCTGTTCACCCGCGCTTTGACCGAAAACGATGAACCTTGACCATTTTAACCGCAATAATTGACCTATGACCGCAATCGATTTAATTTTGACCCAATTCAAGCCTATTTGACTTTGGTCGACCGAAATCAACCTTAGTTTACCGAAATCAATGTTTTTGAAAAAACTTGAAATTTTTTGAGAAAATTAATTTTATTTATTTATTTTTGCTATTCTCACTTGGCTCGTTTGGTGCAGATAAATGGCTGAATTGAAATTTACTGATTCTCAGAACATTACTAGATATCTTTTCGATCCACCATAGAACCATTAGGAATTTAAGACCATAGTTCGTGGTCTAAACAACTGTAGGATCACTCACGCTCTTCGATTGAATCATGTCATTTATAAAGACCTAGTGAGGGAGTTTTGGGATAAGGCTTCTATCAATGAAGCAGGAACAGATGACACAGGCACTGTAGACTCAACAATGAAGGGGAATAAGATTATAGTGTCAGAACAAACCATTCGTGAAGTTATTAGATTTGGAGATCTGCCAGTATTCCTAACAGAGAAATATTTTGCACAAATTACGGAGGTTCTTGAACGAATGTGCTATGAAGGAACCTTTCCTCTAACTTTGAAGAAGTTGCTCCCTCTCTACTTTCTCTTCATAGGTCAGACTTTTGTGATCTGCATTTCAGGTAGGAAGGGCGCAACTGGTGAGATCGCCCTATCATCTACTGGTGCCATTATTGCTCTCATTATGGATCTAGACTTCAACTTTTCAAGGTTTGTGTTCAATGAGATGAAGAGAAACCTGCAATTGAAAAAGAAGGATGTGTTCCTGATGTACCTAAGACTTCCACAGATGATATTCGATGATTAACATCCTTTTTTGGAAAGGACAGGTGAAACCTTGGATATGAATTCTTTGGTTCCAAACTCTTTTGGTTTAATGAAACAAAATCACATGGGTTCAAAGATTGTATTCAGGGGAACAAGCCCATTATTGAAATTCAGAAAATTTGTTGAGATTGAAGAAGCTCCAGCCTTTCAAAATATTCCAGTTGTTGAACCAGAGCATGTTCCAGTTGCCTAAGGTGAAAGTATTCTTGTTCCTGAACCTGAGGTTGTTTCTGCTATCACCCCTCCTGTGGCAATTATGGCAAAATAGCGTGTGCCACTTCTCAATGATGATGATGATGATGATGATGATGATGATGATGATATTGAAGGTGATAATGAAGAGGGTGATGCAGAGGGTTTTAATGATGAGGACTTCTTGTTTGATTTTGAATGTAGTGATGATGACCTTAGTTCATTTTTCAATAATGATAAATTCGATGACGTTGTGAACTCACCAATAGAGACTGAGGGAGATTCAAACATTGTCAAGTTGTTGCTACCAACGCCTGCTCAAATGGCAGAGGCTATTACACAATTAAATTCAGCTGCAAGGAAGCCTCCACGAGAAGTTGGTACTCCAAACATTATTCCATATGAAAGTGCTCTTGAAGAGTCTCAAGCCTCCCAACCGCCACTAAAACGAAAGCATGTTGATCGTAGGTCGGGAGTGCTTATTAGGAGCAAACATGACTAGCACAATAGCAAACCACAACCACTGAACCAGCCCAACCGGCTCGAGACGAAAGCCTAATTTTGCTTGAGGGGCCTACTTTTACCTTAAGAATCTTTTGAACCAGGAAGCTCTTCAGCTTCTCTACCAACGTATGATGCTGCTTCTGAAAGGCTTTCCAGGTTTCTTGCTCGAGAAAATGTTGATCCTGCACCCAAAGCACAAGGCATAACTATTGGTGCAGGGAGCTCCAATGATGAAGATAAACCAATTACCGAGAAAGATGTTTTGATTGGAACTCTGGACATTAGAGTTTCTGAGCTTGAAAGGGAAAATTCTTAAAAGGCAAAGAATATATTTGAACTGCAACTAAATATCAATGATCTTATTGATGGGTTTTGAGCATCCTAACACTTCCTAAGTGTACATGCAACCCTAATAACCTTGGATCTATGTTTGTCTAATTATCATGCAAAGTTGAATTCCAAGGTTATATTCCTATCTAGCATACATGGGGAACAATTTTAACTTAAAGTATAGATAGAATAACTTACCTTGTTGTTGTTTGTGTTCCTTGAAACCTTGTGAGCCTAGCACCCCAAGTGTGATGCCTCAAATGCTTCACACAACACCAAATGCTCTTGGAAGAACTTATGAGAGAACACACACTTCTCAAAATCGGCCAAGCCCTCTTGTTTCTTAGTGTAGCCGATTTTAGGTGGAGAACATGTTACTTATATAGTGTTGACACATCTAGGGTTAAACCCTAATGTGTCATGACTCTTCATTTCCATGACCCATGGGTTTGTAACTCCCATGGAGCATCCATGGAGCATCCTATGGGTGGAACCCAACTTGATAGTCCATGGAGCCTTTTAGCCCACTATACAAGATATGGATGATTTACATAATCAACCCATATATTTAATTAGTTATCTTTTGATCACATAATTAATTCTAAATTAATTCTTGATCAAACTAATCAAATAATATTATTAATATATTAGAACTTATAATATATTAATAATCTCCAAGTGTTATTTCTCTCATTTAGTCTATCCAATTGCATGATGCCATGCAACCCAAATGGACCATGCGGTCGGGTCAAGTACATACCAGAAATAGTTATGGACTTAGACACCTTATCCAACAGTCTCCCACTTGGATAAGTCTAATAACTATTACTGCAATATGACTTCAGGAACCGATCGGCAATCGTAGCTCTTTACAAGGTTTCTCGAAACTGAGAAGATGATGGTACGCCATTTAAGATAAGTGATCATATAATCCTCTGTTCTAGATATCAGTCGGACAAATACATGGAACAATGTCTTACTTATTGTCCAACATTTGTTTCCCGATTTCCGATTTGTTTGACAAAGAACTTCATTGAACACATCAATTTAGTTCTGACCGGGCCCGGTACATAGGTCAAAACAAAATCATCGAGGGGCCCAGATATCAGCTTCTAATCCAAGAAGGAACAGATAAACTTCGACTCATATGTTTGTTCTACTACTCATTGAATTACACACAAGAGCGCGATTTATAACATCGAGTTACCAATGCATTTTTCGTACAATCAATGCATAACCAACTTGTAAGTAACAAATCATATCTCTAGGTTTAAAGACTTATATGATATTACCGTCTCACGATCACTCGAGATAGAATTCCATGAAGTGATTCCAGTGAGCGTGGGTTGAGTCCAATGCTCAGAACTTATGAGCACTCATGATTGTTGTAGCCTTGTCCAAGACCTCTACAACCAAACATGACAGTCTTGATTCATATCTACTTCCGACATATGACCGACTGTGGAGGTTTGAATAATATGTTATACCAAACAAAATTATTCTGGAAGTCAAAACATGCAAAAGAAATATAGTAAACGATCGACAAGAGATAGTAACACTTTACTCATAAATAAAACACTTTTATTCATCATCAGATGTCAATTACACTTTACAAATTTCGAGGTTATCTAACTACTAAATCTAATATCATCCTTCAGCCCTATGCTCCGAGCATGCTGGAGATGCTTAACCCGAGTCAGTCCCTTCGTGAGGGGATCTGCCGGATTCTCATCTGATGATACCCTCTTTGCCACGAGGAGTCCTTCTTCGATCCGATGTCTGATGAAATGGTATTTTCTGTCGATGTGTCTGGATCTCCCGTGATCCCTTGGTTCCTTGGCTAAGGCAACAGCACTTTCACTATCACAGAAAATTTCCATTGGCTCTTTAATAGCTGGTACAACTCCAAGGTCTCCAATGAAGTTCCTCAGCCATAACGCCTCCTTTGCCGCCTCGCTAGCTGCAATATACTCTGATTCACAAGTAGAATCTGCCACTGTCTCTTGCTTGGAACTCTTCCAAGAAATTGCTCCTCCATTTAGGGTAAAGACCCAGCCCGACTGAGAGCGGAAGTTATCCCTATCAGTCTGGAAGCTAGCATCACTATACCCTACAACTCTCAAGTCATCACTCCCACCGAGGGTAAGGACCCAGTCCTTAGTCCTTCGTAGGTACTTGAGAATATTCTTTACCGCAGTCCAGTGTGCCTTGCCAGGGTTCCCCTGAAACCTGCTAACCATGCTCAGGGCAAAAGCTACATCAGGTCGAGTACACGTCATAGCATACATGATCGATCCTACAGCCGAAGCATAAGGTACTCGACTCATTTGTGCTATCTCAGCCTCAGTGCTAGGGCTTTGTGTCTTACTCAGTTTGGCGTTACTCTGGATGGGCAACTCTCCTTTCTTGGAGTCTTGCATTCTGAATCTCTTCAGCACCTTCCAAGTAGGTACTTTGACTAAGTCCAATTAGTCTTTTACTCCGATCTCTCAAGATCCTTATCCCTAAAATATAGGCAGCTTCACCAAGGTCCTTCATAGCGAAACACTTTCCAAGCCAGGACTTTACTTCCTGCAGGGTTGGAATGTCGTTTCCTATGAGTAGTATGTCATCCACATACAATACCAAAAAGCTAACTATACTCCCACTAGCCTTGACATACACACAAGATTCATCTTCACTCCTAGAAAAGCCAAATTCCTTGACCTTTTCATCAAAGCAAAGATTCCATCTGCGAGGTGCTTGCTTTAATCCATAAATGGATTTCTCAAGCTTACACACTCTATTAGGGTACTCGTTGCTGACAAAACCCTCTGGCTGACTCATGTAAACATCTTCAGCCAACTTTCCATTAAGGAAAGCGGTTTTGACATCCATTTGCCAAATTTCATAGTCATGAAATGCGGCTATGGCTAACAGAACCCGAATAGACTTAATCTTGGCTACCGGAGAAAAGGTCTCATCATAATCCACTCCAGGAATTTGAGAGAAGCCCTTTGCAACCAGTCTAGCCTTATAAGTGTGTACTTTACCATCCATGTCGGTCTTCTTCTTGAAGACCCATTTGCACCCTACAGTCTTTCGACCTGGTACATTCTCAACCAAGTTCCAAACTTGATTGTCATACATGGATTGTATCTCGCTATCCATAGCCTCTTTCCATTTAGCAGACTCGGGGCCTGCCATGGCTTCCTCGTAGCTGTTAGGGTCATCTTGACTTACTAGTGTCCATCACTAATAAGTGTCTCACCTTCTGCAGTAATATGGAATCCATAGTAATGCTCAGGTGCACTCCTAACTCTCGTGGAACGCCTCAGAGGTACAGATTCGTCAATTGGCTCAACAGGAGTTTCCTCCTCAAGTTGAGGGCTAGAGTTTGAAGTTCCTTCACCACTTGACTCTTGAATTTCTTCAAGATCAATTTGCCTCCCACTGTCTCCTTGGCTTATAAACTCTCTTTCTCGAAAGACTCCTCTTCTTGCTACAAAGACCACATTGTCACTAGGTCTGTAGAAGAGGTAACCAAAGGATTGCTGTGGGTAGCCGATGAAAATACACCTCTCGCTTCGGGGTTCGAGCTTATCATGAGTCTCGCGTCTCACGAAAGCCTCGCAACCCCAAATCTTGATGTGGTCTAGTTTAGGTACTTTACCAGTCCACATCTCGTGAGGAGTTTTGGCAACTTTCTTTGTAGGGACTAGATTAAGGATATGGGCGGCAGTCTCTAAGGCATACCCCCAGAATGAGATTGGTAGCGAAGCTCGACTCATCATGGAACGAACCATGTCCAACAAGGTTCGATTACGCCTCTCAGCCACACCATTCAACTGCGGTGTCCTGGGAGGTGTCAATTGTGAGACAATCCCACATTCCCTTAGATAGTCGAGGAACTCTGAACTAAGATACTCACCACCCGATCGGATCGAAGCATCTTAATGTTCCTGCCCAATTGATTCTCGACTTCCTGTTTAAATTCCTTAAACTTCTCGAAAGTCTCTGACTTATGCTTGATTAAGTAGACATATCCATATCTACTGTAATCATCAGTAAAAGTCAAATAATAACGATTAGCATCCCTTGTGGCATGTTTGAATGGTCCACACACATCCGTGTGTATAAGGTCCAACAAACCTTCACCCCTTTCACACGAGCCTGTGAAGGGTGACTTTGTCATTTTTCCAAGTAAGCATGATTCGCAACTATCATTTGACTTTAGGTCAAACGACTCCAAGACTCCATCCTTTTGGAGTTGGCCTATGCGTTTCTTGCTTATATGTCCAAGACGACAATGCCATAATGATGCTTTATCCAAGTTATTATTATTAGTAGAATCAATACACAAAACATTATTTCCTAAGTTATCTACAACAGATACAGCTTCATACACACCATCACAAGGTAATGCTTTAAAATAAAGAACATTATTAAAGAAAGCATTAATCGAACCAACTTCATTATCAAACGAAAAGGTGAAACCTTGTTTGTACAATGCATGAAAGGAAATAATATTTCTTGCCATTTCTGGCGAATAACAACATTTATTCAAATCTAAATTTAACCCACTACTTAGCGATAAAGTATAAACTCCAATCTTGGTGACAGGTGTAACTTTCCTATTCCCCATGATTAAGTTTATTCTTCCTTGCTCCACATTCTCACTTCTTCCTAGTCCCTGCAAGTCACAACAAATATGAATACCACAACCGGTATCAAGGACCCAAGATTTCGAATGGGGTGAGTTATTAGAAATGATAGTGTAAATACCTGCATGGTTGGGTTTGACTTTCCCATCCTTCACATCCTGCTGGTACTTTGGGCAGTTCCGCTTCCAATGAGCTTTTTCATGGCAATAGAAGCATTCAGCCTCTTTTGGGTCAGAAGAAGGAGTAATGAAACCTTTCTTGGTTCCACTTGAAGAAGAGCCATCAAGGGTCCGAGCCTTGGTACCCTTCGAAGATCTCTTTCTCTTCCTCCCTCGACTTTGCC